CTTAAACATATATTCACTTATCAAAACTTTATCTATAACTTTAATAATGCAAGATTGAAATAATAGTCACGCAACAAAACAAAAAACTCGAAAAACCCGAAAAACCCGATAAAATCGGACCAATCCAAACCAATATAATTGGTTTAGTTTGGTTTTGATAAAATCCGAACCAACTCAATCCATGTACACCCCTAATTGGAAGCATTGAGAGAGAGTGTGAGAACTGAAAAACAAAGACAGGGTGTTAACATTCTCAAGAATTGCATCGTACGTATTTTGAAGAGTTGACTAATTGAAATTAATGGAGATTATAAAAAGGTTAGTATGAATTTATGATCTGTGTCAAAGTTACACTTTTTTTTGTTGCTAACATGCGCAGTGGCGGAGGCAGGTTTACTGCTAGGGGATTCAAAAAGAGGAAAAAGTTCAAAAGGTTGTGGCTGGTGGGAATAGAATCATTGACCTTATAAAGATTTTGAACCCCCTTAACTACTAAGCTATACTTTTGGGCTATGTCAAGAGGGTTCAAAACATAATATATAGAGGTAAAAAACATATGTAATTTTTCAGCGAAAGGGGTTCGGGTAAACATCCTTTCGCCCCTTAAATCCGCCCCTGAACATGCGATTGCTACATAACCTTATAATGATTATACAAAAATCTTGAAAATTCCAATTTCACGTGAACATATCCTATGTTAAAGGCTTCATAAAAAAAAATTAAAAAAATCCTAGTTCGATTGGAAAAAAGAATTCACCATTACCTCAACATCAAGAAAGGAGAAATGCCATTTTGAAGATGACTTCCCAGCACTGAAATAGTTTGTTTTCTAAAATATATTGTTGAGCTAGTTTTCAACGTGCATATTACAATAACCAGAAGAAAAAGATGAACAAATTTTTAAAAACACAAATTAAATACTTCATCAGTCTCATCATGTGCTAAATTTTTAAAAGAAATATGAACCTTAAGGAGTCCTTTATTATTCTAAAATCAGCTCTTTTTGAAAAGTACTTTTCAAAAAAATACTTTTAGTGAATGATAATTTATCTTTAGCTAATTAATTTGAAAAAATACTTTTGAGTATCAAATATGGGTATTGGGACATAACTGTGAAATTCCCAAAAAAAGTTTAATTTTTTTTAAGTTAAAATGATATTTGAAAATTAGAGTTATATTTGGACATGAATACAATTTGGAGCTGTTTTTGAATTTTTGTAAGTGATTTTTGAAAAATAACTTATTGGAGTTTTTCAAATTTTCAAAAAATCCTGAAATTCAACTTCAAGTGAAATTTGAAATTTTTACGACCAAACACTAGTTCCGAAAAAAAGTATAAAAAAATCTAAAAAGTAAAAAGATTAATTTTCGCCAAACTGGCCCTTAGTATGGCCAAACTTTTAAAAAGTTCTTCTAAGTGATTTTCCTCAAAAATTCTTTTCAAAAAAGTACTTTGAGGAAAAAAGTATTTTTTTTACTTTTTAAATTGCTTCTGTTTCTATTCAAAAGTATTTTTTTCCTTATAAAAATTTGATCAAATACCTTAATTTAAAAAGAAAAACACTTTTTGACCAAAAATAATACTTTTAAAAAAAAAAAGTTTGGCCATACATGCTATAAGTCAAATTCTAATTATTGTGATACATAAAAAATTATGTGCACCGACAGAGGGGAGGGCACTAAAGAAGTTTGTGGTGGGAAATTGTTATAGAAGTCCACAAACGTAATCCCTTTGCCATTGAAAATGCGGGAGTTAAAGTCCTATTCAATCTGCCCCATTACCTCTCTTTGTTGAATCAAAATTAATATTTAAGGACAGCTACATCTTACTATCTCTGTCATAAAAGAGTTAACATTTTACTCAAGTTGCAAATCAGCATAGTACAAGTACACACACATATATTATCTTCTTTAATGTAAAATCGTATAAAACGTATTATAATCCTAATTCTTTTAAGATTAGAGGAGTTGAATCTTCATTTTCAAAGTTTGGTATGAATCGAAGCAATAACTTGTTAGTCCTAAAATTTTGACTTGTCGATTATTTTATATATTGAAAGTAAAGATCATAAAAATGTTTTTAATTTTCCCATGTTTAATTGGCTTAAATTTTTTGAAAAATATTTTCCTCATGAACTCATTTAATTGGAGGAAAATGTTTTCCATTTTCTAAAACTCTTTTTCAACCTTCCCCACCTTATTCCTCATCCCCACCAACCCTTACCACCCCACCTCTACCCCGACCCCAACCGTACCCCTAGATCCTCCCCCTCCCCCCCCCCCCCCCCCACCTCTCAACCCATGACCCTCTATCTGTTAGAATATACTATAAGCCATGCGTATTGTTATAGTATTCTTTATGAACAAATATTTATTTACTTGTTTAAATTCAATAAAGTTTCATTTTAAATAGATCATGTGTTGGTTTGTGTGTCCATTGCTTACATAGTAGATGATTTAGTGTATAGAGTTTAGCTTATACACGGAAGATTAAATCATCAGTTCTTGTAAGACATAAAAGTTAATGTTCACAATCTAATGATGGAATTGGACAAATCATCGGAATGATTGTAGCACAAGATTAAATATAATTTATCTTGATTATGGGAATGGTTTAATTCCAACTTCTTGTGCTAGTACATTTTGTATGTAATGAACGGATCAAGTAGAGATAAGTATTTTATACTGACTTTATAAAATAATTTCTCTAGTCCATTTAATGTACTTATACTCTTAATCCTGATATAATTATTATTAGCTGCTTATGTCACTTGTTGTTTTATTTATTAAAAGGCGAGATTCTTTCGCGAGTCAATAAGCCTGGTAAATTGGATAACAATGATATACATTGGCGAAGTAATAATTAGTTGATGGAATCCATGTCTCGGTTTTGAGATTGATGATACTCCTTTATGAAAGCTTATAAGTTTTCATGTGTAAACCTGGCCGGTGGATTTTGTATCCGACACATGAAATAAGTTAAGTGTAAGTCTAAAGGAAGTAATCAATAAATTAAATAGTCAGTAATTTAATTTGATTGATTAGTATCTCAATCTTAACATGGGGAGTTAAATAAGGTTTTATGGAAGAATTTCGAAATTGAACTAAGGAGTGCAATTACGAATTTTTAGTGGAATAATTCGTAGTTTATTATGGTGGAAATTAATTTCAGAATTTCGAAATTAATATCATAATAGGAAGCCTTGTTAATTAAATTCTATGGTCCCTACTGTGCCTAAATAATAGGAAATAGTGGAAACTGTTACTTAGTGGGAAAGAAAACGTGGAAACCGTCCCTTAGTGGGAGAAGGAAACCTAACAGGTTTTGAAGACGGTTTTGACCTAAAAAACGCAGCTATATATATGGATATAGGGGCTGGACGTTTTTTTTTTTTACGATTCTTACTGCGGTTTCTGCTAGAATTTTGCCCACCCAAAATTCTTTATTTTCGGTTATTGTTTGGGTAACACAGTAGAAGACTGTGAAAATCTGCTGGTGCGTTTTCAACTGAGGAACTGGAGAACGACATAGATTTGCTGTGTTTACGCTTCAAGAGGTAATCCGAAAATCTCCATATGTGCTAGTTGTTTAGATTACACGTGAATAAGATACTGGGATTGCTTCCGCTGCTTATTATAATCCAACACTATCCCTACTCGAAATAGAAATATTGTTAGGAGTACTTTATTTTCTTTTTCATTTCTAACATATTTTCTTTCATTTCAACAAAATTGTGCAGTAAAAAGTATTTTCAATGATACAGTAAAGCAGCACGTTAGTTCCTTTGGGTTTGTGTGAGTTTTTAAAAGAATAATTAAATTTTTCAAGAAAATAGAGTCCTGAAAATGTTGGGTGTTTCGGGGGGGGGGGGGGGGGGGAGCCACAGAAAACATGGGGATTTGAGGGACGGGGTGAGGAGAATAGCATAAAAAATATTTTGTTACTCTCTAACCAAACACTACAAAATGTTTTCCGAAAAAAAAAGTTTCACTCACCTACCAAACAAGGAAAAATAAGAGATAAAATTATTCATTTTTAAAAAAAAAAATATATTTTCCTTCGTACCAAACACACCCCAAGAGCTCGTAGCTGAAAGAATACACTGGAATAACTAAAGCAAAGAAAACACTCTCTTTTGAAGTTTGACTAACCATTATCATTTTCAACCCCAAAAAGATTGATGAAAATTTTAAAATAATCAAAAGAGCAGAAACAAGATTACGATTCTTTCCTTGGGCAAAAGCCGAAAGGCAAATTCTTAGTAGAAAAGACTGCAAAACACTAGTTGCAGTTATCACTTTTGTATTAGAAAAGATCCAAAGTTTAGAACAAGTGGAGGGAAAAGCATCTTCTTACGCCATTCCCTTTAATTGTTCTCAACGGGACCCGAACAAATTTCCTATCCTTTCTCAGCTCTACATTTTTTAGATATCATACCTCCATTTTAACCTCAAGAATTAACTGAAAAAGGGACACAAAAGTAGAAGTTATAGATATTAATTTTGTACAACTTTAGGCTGAATTGTTGTATGAAAGGATAAAACTAGTGGATGGGGGAGAGATGTTCTCTTTTATTGCTTTTTCTTTAAATCTTTTCTCCAACTAATATCGCCTATAGATTTCCTTTCAACTAAAAAGAATGAACATGCTTGGGATCGTGTCATAGTTTATCAATGAAGATTTTTATAATCAATCCCAAATGAAGATTCATATAATCAAATCCCAACCCTGACTTATTTATGATTGAGACAAAGTTATTGTTGCAATAATTTGAACCCTGTCAGCAGGAAATCCAATGTTATTACCTAACGAGAGGAAGAGTTTCAAAATCAGGCATACATCCAATGTTATTCCTACTCCTACCTTATGAAGGTAGAGAGGCCGATAATATGATTAATTGTAGTCATTACCACAATTAAAAATTGGCAGAAGAAATTGTTTATCAGAAAAATGTACCACTAGAGTAGATAAGTTGCCAAGGGAAAAAGGAGAAAATGGGTACAAACATAAAGTATTTTCTTAATTGTTTACTAACATTGGATAGCAATTCCGATTGATACAATGATCCATTTCCACAAGTAGTGGAAAAAGCAATATGGGGATTAGCACTTTGTTGATTTTGTTTTAAGGCTAAGCCCAACATGATTGAAAAATCACAAGAGCAATCCTCTCATAATTTACCCAACACATATATACTCTGCATAATATGTACAAGAAAAAACACACACAAAACGCCAAATACCCCCATTCCAGGAGCTACTAGCACTAAGACATGTTACATCATTAAATTACACCTCAATAATACCTTTTTGACTACTACAACTAACACTAGCTTTCCATTGCTTTCTTTGAAAGCTCTTCTCAAGCTTTGAGTTGGATACTTTCCTTTGGGGTTACTTTGGTTTGAGGGCATATTGTTTTTTAACAAACCCTTCAAAACCTTATTCCCACCTACACCCAATTCTTTATCAAAGTTTTGCCTTTGTTTTGTCTTCACCTCTTCATCATCACCTGTTATAAAAATAAAAGATACTCAGTTTTAGATCTCATCATATCGCAAAAAGCCTCTCTCCCTCCACAAGTAGGAATAAGGTAAGATATTGTCTAGTTTTAGATCACTATCATATTCACACAATCTCATTGCTTCAATTGACACATAAGGGTAGGTGTTAGGCTTTATATACCAAACCCAACCTCCTCCTAATTCTTTAAGTAATATACTACACTTTCTTTAGTCTAATGATTATGACATTTGATCCAACTTTCCAATTTAAAGCCCAAAAATTAAAAAAAAAAAAAAAAAGAAACATGTGGTTACTATGTACATAATATAGTATCTTCTTAAAATGAAACTCAATTCAATTATTGTCCTTTCTCTTGTCCATAATTATGGATAAACCTATGAGTACCCTTACATTTGGCTGTAGTTCAAGACTTGGTGGCAAAAGAGATAATGGTGACAAACAAAGAGCCAAGGTGGCATCATTTTCAGGATTTCATATTGTGTATATTCAACAGTTTGACTAATCGAAAGTGTAAAAACGAAAAAAAGAATCATGTCACATGTCAAATTTACATGTTTCTTGCTAACAGAGATGGCTACATACCCTTTTAAAATATTACACACACACCAAAGAAAGAAAAAAAAAAGTAAAACCTTCACAACTACTACTGGCAGCTACTAAAAGCAAAGTATCTTAAGAGAATAATGTTCTAGTTTCACGTGAAAATCCTACCTAGCTTGATTGAAATAATGTCACCATAAGAAAAGAAAAAAATGGCATCTTGAAGAGACTTTTTCACCCCCCCCCAAATAGTCAAGTTCTACAAAAGAATTGTTAAGCTAACTATCCCAACAGACAACTTCTAGAATACAAATCTACCAAGTAAACTCAGTAAAATTTGAGTAAATCCAACCCAACACAATTAAAAATATCATTTTTTTGAATGAACTAATAAGAAAGAAATGTCACATAAATAAGGGACAAGTGCTATTTAGATATTAGCCACTATTTATTTTGTCCTGCAATTTTAAACTAAAAATCTTAGCTTCGTACTGAAATTAAGGAAGCACATACTAATTACTAAATAGCGACCCTTTATAGTCACTACCTGGTGTCGTTTCTGGCATAAATAGGGAGTATGTATGACTTACCAATGGAGCAAAGAAAGAACTAGTCCTTGAAAATGACTGAATCTGCCAATTCCATCAAAGGGTTCAAGCAATCAGCTGAAAATTTCCTTGCAAACATGTAAGAATACGTGGAATTGGACACCCTAAGATCATAAACCAGCTGTGCAGAAACTTCAGCAGGATAATAAGTATGTGGATGACCATCAACTGAATCAGTCCAATTCACATTCGTCAATGTATACTTAGTACACCCCTTTGGATCCTCCATTGATAACAAAGTAGGAAAATAATGTTCCTCAGGATAACAAGATTCAACATTAATACACTTTCTCTTAAATTTCCTCCATAATTTCCTATCCTTAATCACCATTAAAGAATGTTTCCTTGTTAATGCAAAAAACTGTGACCCAACTTTGAACTCCTCAAATTTCACCTCAGGTTCCATTACATTCTCCCCTCTCGCATTATACCTATCCAATAACGAATCAGACTCATCTAAAATCTCAATATAACTGGGAAACTCCATTTTCCTTGACAGTTTTTGTGTATCAAGTAAAAATTTGTAGAAATAACTAAACGAATGTAAAGGGATACAATGTTGCGAAAGAAGAACAAAGTACGTGTTCGACGGATCGTCAAGAAGCGCGTGAGCGAGTAGCCTTCGTTCTGCAGATATAAGTGTAGGAGAACTACGTTGAGTTTGTTTTGCAGGAATTAACCGATCTTTAAAAACACCCAATAAAGGTGAGATTTTAACAAAAGGATCAGAGTGTACGTAAATGTTATACAGATGTGGATCTACAGGGTTAATACTGTCATTAAAGAATTTTTCCCATAAAGGAGCAAACTTTATGTCTGAATTTGTTAAAAACAGGAAAGCAATTTTGGGTGGGCGAACGGTAGTAGATCCGAGCCGGAGTTTATGCGAAGGTTTTTTAGGGAAAGTGGTTTCAGCGGCAATTGCTTTGTGAAAAAGGGAAAGATCGTCGAGTTCGTCGGGTACTGAGATTGAGATTTGACGAGGAGGGAGGATTCTGGGTGCTAATAAGAAGAGAATTGGGACTGATATTAGGAGAGTAAGTGAAGGGATAAGTATAGATAATCTCAACATATTTTCAAGAAAATGCGTGTGTTTTACACCAAAATGGACATTAATGTAAAGAATCTTGGATTTTTAGTAATGGGGTTTGGGGGAAATTAGGGTTGAGAGTGGAAGTGAGAGTGGAAGAGGGAGATTTGGGGTAAGGGAAGAAATGGTGAAAGTGGCTGAAATAGAGTGGAGGTTTGGTGTAGGGTGGGTGGGATAACGGAGAAGATGGGGGAGATTGACGGCGTTAAGAGGTGTAAATGAGTGGAAAGTGACAAATAGGGACGGTTCAAGGAAATTGCAGGTGTGTAGGGACTCGTGTAGATGATAGAATGGGCGTACCTTTGGGGTACTATTGGTTTACTTTATTGCTTTCTTAATTGTTTTTATTACAAGAAAAATTAATTTCTCTATTCTAATCCGTGATTGTACGGAGTTCATTTTTTTTTTCTTTTTCTTTCCGAAATCAATGTTATTTGCGTCAGCATTTCATGCCCTTATTGAAGAGAATTTATAGCATGTTTGACCGAGGAGAAGTGTTTTTTTTCAAAATTATTTTTGATGAGAAGCAATTTGTGTTTGGCTAATTAAAGCATGTTTGGTCAAGCTGTAAAAATCAGCTTATTTTGAAAAGGAATTTTTACATTCCTATACCAGATAGGAAACCTTTTTACCCTCAATGTTTAAGGTTTGACTTAATTACACTTAGTATACCAAATTATCATTTCTATACCATAACTAATTAAGGGTATAATTAATGAGATATTTTTTACTCATTAATTAAAGGGTTTCCATTACCCGCCCAGTATCTCCACTCCTCCCTTACTTTCTCTCTCTGAATCCCTCAGCCCCGTACCCACGTTCTTTTACCCATACCCAGTAAAAAGGTTATGAGGATTTGAGCATGTTTAACCAATTTCTATTATTTTCATTGCCATAAACGACGAGATTACAGTAAGTTTATAAATAAAATAATTGTGGTTTGAGTGATAATGGATACTGGTAGCAGAGGCGGACCAAAGATTTGAAGGTGACGGGGGCACCATTATTTTTCAACATAGCTATACATATCTCTAGCTTTAGCATAGCAGTTTCGTAAGGAGTAACAAGAGCATATAGGAGAATCACAGAATTGTAGCATAATTGGGATTTTCGACATAATTGCGCTTTTTGCAGAAGATTTGTAGAAGTTTTAGTCGTTTTTGATTTGTGAAAACAGAAAGCAAAGCATCTACAATCAGAATACAAATGATCTAAAATTTATCTACAAAATATCTACAAACTGGGTACAAACTTCAGCTCTAGAGCTGAAGTTTTTGTTTTGTAACTGGCAACCGGTAAACTTTAGCTCTAGAGCTGAAGTTATTTGTAGTTGTGATGTTCTGCCTTTTGTAGTTATAGATATTTTGTGGACAGAATAGTTTTATTGCTGTATTTTACTGTTTGTAGTGTAATTGCAGTTAGTTTGTAGCTTATGTAGAACATTACAAGATTAATTGTAGTCTAAAATGTAGATATAATGTAGACATGATTGTGGATGTTGTGTTGCCTGTTTGCCCTGTAACTGTAGGTAAATTGTAGTTATTTTTATATTAGGTACTTAAACTGTAGGTAATTTGTACATTCACTGTAGGTAAACTGTAGGTAAATTTGTTTAAATTGTATAGCTGGTTTTATACATAATTGTAGAGTTTTTGTTTCTGTTTTTGTAGTTAATAGTAGTTATAGTGTAGGATTCATGTACCGCTTCACACCATGTATCACAGTATGGATATGATCTGTTGAAGCCCTCACCTAGAATTACATAACAATCAGCAATAAAAATATTTACAATCATAAAATAGTTTATCTAATATTTATCTACAACGTATCTATAATTATATCTACAAATTATCTACAATCTACGAATTAACTACAATTTGTTTACAAATTATCTACAATCTCACTTTGAAATTCCTCTATGACGGAAGAGGCTGGCATATCCCACGCTGTAGTTTATTTGTAGATAAATGTAGGTATTTTGTAGATATTATCGTAAAATCAGACTTCCATATTGAAATCTCGTACACTTATGAGTAACGGATACAATCCTAAGTTTTTATTCTCCTTTTTTGTCTCCATATACACACTAACCCCCATATTGTTCCTAATCTCCATTGGAGGACAATTCTCATTCACAATGTATTTGATTCTACAATTTTTTCTGAAGTATCAATCATTAATTGCTCTACAATTGTAGAAATCAACATACTGTAACTTGCATCCTCATCGAGCACAATGCCATCAACTTGAAAATCTCTAAATCTGCCATAACTATCCCAATTTCCATTAAAATGTAGCATGATTGGAATTTTGGACATGATTGCTTGTCGTTGCAGAGTTATTGTTCAATATTTTGTCGCTTTTTTGATTTTTTGGATTCAGGAAAAAAAGACGAATAACAGAGAATTGCATAATTGATTTCTACAATTTGACTTGAACTTTTTGATTAGGGATTGATGAAAAAAGTCGACAAACTGAGATTTGCAGAACTGATATCTACAATTTAGAATTGAGCTTCTGATTTCGATGAACTGATAGTTTGATTTGTAGCGACGAACTGATATTTTGATTTCGACGAACAGAATTTGTTTATAAATTGAAGATGAGCGGTTTCCGTGATATGATATGATCTTATTCACGCAAATCTGTTCAGAATATTCTGCTCCTAAAATTTAGCTCGCAAAAATAGGAAGATACAGCTGCTATTAATTAGCTTTTAATGATTGGTACAAAAACTGTAGAAATAATGTGGACTGGGCGGGTAATTTAGGAATTATGCACATTTTTGGTAATAAGGTTTCATATATGGTATAGGTAAGAAAAAATCCCATGAAAAAGTACTTTTGGAGAGAAGCTCTCTAAAAAGCACTTTTGAGCAATAATTTGTGTTTGGCAAACTTTTCAAAAAGCGATTTTAATTATCAAATTACGAATAAGGACATGAATAGATTTACTTAATAGTTAATATTACAAGTAAATAAATAATCTCAAAAATTTGTTATTACAGGCAATATTTAAATCTTTTCATTTTATTTAAGTAAAATATGAAAAGTAAAATTAAAAGGTACTTAATTCTTTCAATATTATTTAAATATATTAAAATTCATTCAACGAATATAAAAATATTCACCCATAAAGTCATAATATATTAGAAAGCTATCCTAAAAATAAGAAGAAATACGTATACATTAACATCCTAAGTATTAGGTTTAACGGTTATTTTGGTATATACTATATTTTGTTAAGGGTATTTAGGTAAGAAGAAAAGTCAAAACTGCTTCTGCTTCTGCTTTTGGGAAGAAGATACTTTTTTCTGCTTCTCAGAAATTGCTTCTGCTTCTTCCCAAAAGCACTTTTTTCCATAAAAGCCCAAACACCTTAAGTTAGGAAAAAAAGGTGCTTTTGGGGAAGAAAAAAAGCATTTTTGGCCTCTTGAGAAGCTTGGCCAAACAGGCTATTAATTTGAAAAACACTTATGAGCAGCAATTAGTGTTTGGCAAGCTTTCAAAATCTTTTTCCAAGTGTATTTTTCTCAAAAGTGATGTTCAAAAAAGTGGTTTTTGGAAAGAAGCTACTTTTTTTTCTGCTTCTCCAAATCTACTTTTGCTTCTCTTCAAAAGCACTATTTTTCCTTCCAAAAGCTTTGCCAAACACCTTAATTTTTGAAAAAAATCACTTTTGGCTAAAAAAAAAATTCACTTTTGACCCTAAAAAGCTTGGCCAAATAGGCTATTAGTTTTAGATGGTAATGGGTGTCTACAAATATTTATGTGGTGCTTGGTCTTTTGAGTTGAAAAAAATAATTTTCATATAAAAGTTTGTGCTACTAATAAATTATTCGATTTTTAAATTGTAACTGTATAACAACATTAGCATAACAACCTGCAAAGGTTGCGTGAGTGGTTTTCTATAGGGGAGAATTAGGGTCGATTTCCCATATTAGCAGCCTTCGCAATCAGAATTCAACGCATCGAGCTTGCTTAATATGGTTTCAATCTCTTGTATGGTTTGCGAGCTATTGTACAGTAAATATATTATCGCACCCCGACGGTTTGCGGGTTTCCTTGAAAATTTTCCCAAAAAAATAGGAACATTAGCATAACATATGTGAGGATATACGCCTGGTACAATGAACATAGAATCGCATCCCAAAAGTAGCGATTGTGGGTTTTCCTCAAACTTTTCCAAAAAAAAAAAAGGGAACATTAGCATAACATATGTGAGGATATATGGGAAAATTTTATTTTGTGTCTCATACAACTTACACTAGTTGTATGAGGCAACTTTTTGTCTCACAGTTTTGTGGACCCAGGATTCTGTGGACCCAGAAGTGTAAGATTGGAGTCCATAATTTTGTGAGACAAAAAGGAGCCTCATACAACTAATATCAGTTGTATGAGACACAAAATAAAACTTCTCGGATATATGCATTATATTTTAACTCCTAAATTAGGCCAACGCCGCAAAACTCCTAATCAATGCAGCTCTAAATGAGGCAAAACTCCTAATACATGCAGGAATTTTGAAACTATATAAAACTCTTAATTAGACCCCCCAAAAAAATAGTAAAACTTTGACAAGAAAAAAATTAACTAAAACAGAAAAATTAAAGAAGCTAAAAGTGTAAAAGATGCTAGACAATAGTTAGTATGCCCCGTTACTCCACCGGGATCCCTCTACGGGGAAACTTACAACAAACATTTCAAATAAATCTCAACTTACCGATCTCTAGCCATTAGTCATAAACTTATTAAAACTAGCCAAGTACATATAAAAATTGAAAAATCAAATAAATAAGGTTCGTTCTCTCAAAAAATCCTATGCAAAAATCACCTTCCATATTTTTAAGCGTGATTAGCAACATTAAATGCAAGACGGAAGGGAAAATTCATGGATGAGGTACCAAATAAGGTGATGAAATACAAAAAAAAAATATACAATATTCCAAAAATCTTAGCAAAAAAGGAACTTTTTCAATGGGTATAGTTGAAATTCATTGAAAACATATAGATAAGTCAATATACAAAATTTGAGGAAGATTGGAGGTTATTTGGGCTGGTTTTGTATCAAAATTCGTAATTAATCGAGTTCAAAAAAAATTTCTAGACACATGTATCTCACACACAGGTACACATGGATATACATATGATAACAATTGTTACAAATAAGATACATATGTGATACACAAAAGATACACAGTGTTATACA